GGGGGGGGGGGGGGATCAGGGGCTATGGGAGAATGACTGGAATTGAGAACCTCTGATTTAATCAAATTTAACTAGAAAAGACAAAACAAAAAATCATGTTATTTGTCAGTGAGGAAAGATGTGTATTTGTAGAGTGAGCGGATTTCTTTTGCAGATTCAATTTAACAGATTTGTATTACAGCAATTTTCACAATGAATGCTGTTTCTAAGCAGCTTTAGTGAGCACCTTACAAACCCAAAGCATGACAAGCTTAAACACATTTCTTGAAATTATGCCTCTTTTTTTGCAAAACTGTAAACACAAATCCATAACTTCTAACTCAATTCCCCAAACTTCCTATATCAAAATGAAGTTCTCCACTCAAAACAACTCGCTCTTGCTGAAAAACCAAACTTTGCTCTCAGACATGACACACAAACCCTCAAAAACACACACACTAGAACATAGTCGTACACACTGATGAGATCAATTCAAAACAATGCTACAAAAACCGGTAATAAGTTGCGTTGCTTGTGGTCCCCCCCCCAAAAAAAAATAAAATAAAAAAATTTCACATCATGAACACAACAAAAGGCACAACAAAAATGCAATACATGCATTTACATTTAGTCATTTAGCAGAGGTTTTTATCCAAAGCGACTTACAAATGAGGACAACAGAAGCAATCAAAACTAACAAAAGAGCAACAATATGTAAGTGCACATGAAAAGTGTCGGTTATCATAACGGTACACGTAGCAAGGTATATATATAGCTAGTATGTTTTTTTTTTAAATAAAAAAAGATGATAAATAGATAAAGTATAATTAAAATAGAATAGAAAGTGTTAAAGTTAGAAGGTCAAATAAAGATGGAACAGATGTGTTTTTAGTCGTTTCTTGAAGATGGATAAGGACTCAGCTGCTCGGACGGAGTTGGGCAGGTCATTCAACCAGGAGGGAACAGTTAATGAAAAAGTCAGTGAAAGTGATTTTGTGCCTCTTTGAGATGGCACAATAATGTGTCATTCACTTGCAGAACGCAAGCTTCTAGAGGGCAAGTAACTCTGAATTAATGAATTTAGGTAAAGGGGTGCAGAGCCAGTTGTGGTTTTGTAGGCAAACATTAATGCCTTGAATTTTATGCGAGCAGCTACTGGTAGCCAGTGCAAATTGATGAACAGAGGTGTGACGTGCGTTCTTTTTGGCTCATTAAATATTAATCTTGCAGCGGAATTTTGGATTAATTGTAGAGGTTTGATATAAGTGGCTGGAAGACCTGTCAAGAGAGCATTGCAATAGTCCAGCCTGGATAGAGCAAGATCTTGAACAAGGAGTTGTGTTGCATGTTCTGAAAGAAAGGGCCTGATCTTCCTAATGTTGTATAAAGCAGATCTGCAGGACCAGGCAGTTTTAGCAATGTGGTCTGAGAAATTCAGCTGATCATCAATCACAACTCCAAGGTTTCTAGCTGTTTTTTCAGCATAGCAGTGATATGAAAAGCCATGTTTCTGAATGACAGAACCTAGTGATGCCATGTAGACAGAGAAGAGAATTGGTTCAAGAACTGAGCCCTGAGGCACCCCGGTAGCTACCTGAGAGCAAGGCAGTCTCAGTCGAATGTCCACTTCTGAAGCCAGATTGGTTGTGGTCCAGGAGGTTGTTCTGTGTGAGAAAGGCAGAGACTTGGTTGAGCAACTCATTCAAGTGTTTTTGCAATGAAAGGTAGAAGGGAAACTGGTCTGCAGTTCTCTAAAATAGTTGGGTTAAGAGTGGGTTTCTTAAGAAGTTGGATTATATGAGCCTGTTTAAATGTTGAGGGAAAAACACCAGTGTGAAGGGATGTGTTAATGATGTGAGTGAGTGCAGGTTCAATGGCAGGAGAAATGGCTTAAAGGAGATTAGATGGAATAGGATCAAGTGGACAAGTAGTAGGATGATTGGAAAGGATGAGTTTAGAGACTTCTGCCTCACAGAGTGGAGTGAAGGATGCAAATGAGTGTATGTTTGCTGGTAAGATGTGTTTGACGGTTTGTTGTGTGGCAAATTGTGCACTGAGGTCTGTAATTTTATTAACCCTCTAAGCGCCAAAGTCGCAAAATTGCAACAAGACGTCATACTTAATCAAATAGACTGTAGTTCCTAATATGGTGTAATATCTCATTTGTATTCCGATGCGGAAGCAGTTCAGTTCATAGCGTGCGGGTAAGCTGTGAGATTTGTGAGAGAAAATCGCCAAATGGCTAATAAAAAGTTGTACCATGAGGATGTTTTGCAAATGTTATTCGCTGATTCTGACTCTGAAGGGGAATATCTGCCTCTTGGGAATGACGATCGGTCGTCTAATTATCGCGCTTCTCCCGGTACATCTTTGCAGCGCAATGGTGCCACCGTGCAAGGCGAGAGTGTTCACGAAGCACAAACAAGTCATAATTTCGACCCTTTGCCCAACGAGGATGGGGGTGGCAGGGCAATATCAAATTATATGAGTATATTTACACCCCACATAAACTTTCGGTCATGCCCAACATTTTTCTAATTTACATTAGATCTCTATCTTTAAGCCCTTTCAAGCCACAAGCTTTTGAAATCTTGATGTCAAAATCCAGCATTTTTCCAAAAACAAAACCTGGCGCCTAAAGGGTTAATGAAGAATGTGGCAAAGTCTTCGGCTGTTAAGAGTTGATAAAGGAGGGGGAGGAAGGGGACTAAGGAGGGAGGAAAATATTTTAAAGAGCATGCGAGAGTTAGGCGAATTGTTAATTTTGTTATGATAGTATGTCCTTTTAGCAGTGGAGACATTAGCAGAGAATGAAGAGAGGAGTGATCGATATACATTAAGGTCAGTAGGATTTTTGTGATTTAATTTAATGTACTATAGAGTACAGTACAATACAGCAAACAACAACAAAAATAATGATTCTGCCCCAGCATTCCGTTTTTGGTCTGGGACAGGTCAAATGACCTCGTCAACATCACAGGCTATATTGGTCCTGGCCAGGCAGTGGGGTAAAATCCTCTTGCATGCCTGATCCAACCCTGGCACACATCAACTGAAATATCTGAGACTGCTTGTTTTCTTGCCCTTCCCATTCCTCTTCCATGCAGTCGTCCTCCTCCTCTTCCTTCTCCTCTTCCTCTTTCTCTTGCATGCTAATTGAGCTCAAACTGTGGTGACTTGAGTGAACAATATTGAATGCTAGTGCTTTCTAAATGACCACATGGCGTAAGCACTGAGAAATATAGGGATTTGTGTGTAGAGTTTTGCAGTAACAGTTCACCAAATCTGACTCATGTGCCAAAGCAGGGGAATAGTATTTATAGTTTAGGGAAATTGGTGTGCTTTTTTAAAAATGGCATTATGGTTTTGAAATTTTAGTTCAAATGCCTGGTTATAGTGTTTTAGCAATCAAGAAAAACTGTAAAGATGATGACAAATTTGGCATTTAACTGAATATAATGTAATAAATCAGACAGACATTTACCTCTCATCCTGCAGCATTTGAAAATCATCACGACTGTCACTAACAAATATGGACAAACTGCCAGTACAGAACTGAGTGTGTGGAGGACAGAGACCTGAGATCCTGAATGAGACACTGAAGAAGAGACACACAAGCACTTTATCAAGCACCATATCTGAACGAGAACATTAGAAGAAATCAACCAGCTCACAGTTTCATTGACTCTCACCTGTGACTGAGATCCAGCTCTTGGGTGACTCTCCATCTGGGTGTTTGCAGTAGTAGAAACCCTCATGTGGCTTTGAGACAGTAGAGATGATCATCTCTGTAGTTTGATTCTGGATGAGTGACCCATCTTTATAGAAATCAGCTCTGAGGTTTAATGAGGTTGTATTTTGATCTAAACAGCGTAGAGTCAGAGTATCTCCTTCAGTCACAGGATGAACAGGACTCTCCAGAATCACACCAACTACAGAAACAGAGCAAACATCAACTGACAAATAGTAAGAATGTATCAACAGTGTGGTGGTGACAACAACAACAACAATAATAATCATAATGCATTTTATTTAGAGATGCCTTTCAAAACACTCAAGGACTCCTCAATGACAACTTAATGACAATCATAAAATACAAGACTGTAATACATTCAAAGCAACATCTATTCAACATTAAAGATAACCCATAAATCAATATTAATCAGTAAACGCTCATTTAAAAAGATGAGTTTTAAGACATGATTTTAACGTAAGAAGAAAATCACTTTCACATAGAATTTGTGAAAGTGTAACGGACAGGAACGTGACAATGAAGATCTAAACGTGAGCTTTTATTAAAACAGATCATAGTCAACACAGGCAGGGTCCAACACCAGCAAACAACTACATCCAGGGCAAGGCAAAAGAGTAATCCAATACAGGCAGTGGTCAGGGCAGGCAGCAAACAATCACAAAAACAAGGAAACAGTCCATAGTCCAAAAATACAGGCAAGGCAAGATAAACATGGAATATGCTCAGAAACGTCCACTAACAGTGGAACAAGCCTGCATCCTAATGGGCATACTATCCATCCTAAATTCTATGTGATATTGGTAATTTTCAATACTATTTAGGGCAGATAGGGTGGAAAGTATGCACATTGGTACGCAGGGCATGACTTCACGATCAGAGCGTGTTTGTGGGCATCTTTTATAATCCTCCAGACAGGAAACAAGGGTGTATGTAATGAGTTCCGAGGCATGGGGTGTTGTGGGAAATGGAGTCCAAGAAACAGTGGCAAAGGTCTGGGATGGAGTGCCCTCTAGAGGAACTCATTGGCAGTCCAGCTGGACATCTTGACAGAAAAAGAGTACCATAATCGAGGAGCAGCACAGCTGAATGCTCTGAACAACATAGTGGTGAAATGAACAGGAGGAATAACAAGAGAAACACACAAAGAAGATTTAGAGTGTGAATGTGAATTAGGGATGTGCACATCAATGCTGGAGTATCGATATATCAATACTCAGAAGCTTCTAATTTGGTATCAATATTTTCTAAAAAGTATTGATATTTTAACTATATTAATAATTTCTGCATAACTAAATGTTTTAAGCACTGTGTACAGGATGGTCGATGACGGTTTGTATATAGGACGTTACACACTGATCAGTCATGGTGTGGTGCTACTTCTCAACAGTGGAAAAAAATATATTGCACGATGCAATATTTGTGATAAGAAAGTCACACACAGCAACAATACAAGCAGCCTTTTTAAACACTTGCAGACAACACACCCTGAAACTTATAAAGAGTCGGAACAAAAACAAGCTGCCAAGTCTCCCTCTGTCCAACAAAAGATGTTACAGGAGAGTTTTAAGGGAGGCAAACCCTATCCAGGTACAAAGAGCACAGTAATTAGTGAACTTATTAACTGTACTCCCTCTCCCTCTCTCTCGCTCTCTGAGTGCATGCTGGGAGCGAGTGGGCAGAGCTGGATGTGTGTGGAGTGAGAGCGTTGCCTGCGAGTTGAGTGAGTTTTTCTATCTTTTTCTATCCTTTTATTATATTCGGGTAGAGCTGTTGGTGATTGTTTCAGGGGTTTTGCTACAGTTAAAGAAAGTAAGGCGCTGTCGATCAGCTGTGCTGATTGAAATGGCAGTGCCTGGAAGTGTATTGCTCGATCAGCTAACGTGGCGACATGGCATTAAAGTTATCCCCGCAGAACGCTGTTCTGTGTAAGAATGCAGTTTAGCGGTCGCACAGGTTGTTGGCCACAGAAGAGTTCTGTCAGCATCAAGAATGAACAGCGCAATTGTTTTGTCCTCAGATGATGTAAATAATGTTCACGTTCAAGATAATTGCGAGTGGAATCGTCATAAACAAGGCTTATACAGCAGTAAAGCCTTTGATGCAACCAGCGAAAAATATCTCATTCAATCAATCAATCAATCAATCAACATTTATTTATATAGCACATTTAAAACAACACCAGTTGACCAAAGTGCTTTACATGTCTAAAAAGTACTCAAACAAACACAATGCACACAATATCCATCACTGCTCAGTGTCCCAAAAGCTAGGGTCAACTGTATGCCACAGAGTAAAGGTGTGTTTTCAACATTGATTTAAAACAGTCAAAATGAGTCACATGATCTAATGTGCAATGGCAGACTATTCCAAAGACGTGGGGCTGCCACAGAGAAGGCTCGATCACCTTTGGTTTTCAACCATGATCTGGGAACATGTAAAAGCAGGCTTTGTGATGATCTTAGAGGTCTAGCAACACAGTGCTGCTGTAACAGACATGAAATGTACTCTGGAGCAAGGCCATGCAAACCTTTAAAAACCATTATCAAAACTTTATATTGGACTCTAAAATCAACAGGAAGCCAGTGCAGCGAAGCCAGCACTGGAGAAATGCTGGACCACTTCCTTGGTGCCAGTCAACAGTCTAGCTGCATCATTTTGTACTAGCTGCAGCCGTGAGAGCAGATTCTTAGACAACCCTAAATATAATGAGAATTATCTTCAATTTAGCAATAATTTGCAACTGATAGAAGCTACTTTTAACAACAGCACTGACTTGTCTATCAAACTTCAACTCAGAGTCAAAGATTACACCAAGGTTTCTTACTTGAGTGTTAATATTAGTGGCTAAGCGGCCTAGATGTACAGAAAGCTGACTTGAGTGTTGATATTAGTGGCTAAGGGGCCTAGATGTACAGAAAGTTGTTTGGCTAACTTTGGAGGGCCAAAAATCACCACTTCCGATTTAGACTCATTGAGCTGCAGAAAACTAGAAGCCATCCATGCCCTTATTTCATCCAAACACTCAAACAAAGTTGAAATATTGGAATCATTCTTACATCTTAGGGGCACATACAGCTGGATGTCATCAGCATAACAATGATAAGCTGAAAGGAGTGAAATTATTTCTTTGTAAAGCCAAACACTCAGAAACAATGGGCTTTGATCGAGATAGGAAGATCTGGAAGAAAGACCATCTGCACTTCAGTCCCTTCACCCATCCTTCCCCCCTGGGCGACACATATACTACCATTTGATCTTCACACACAGAGTCAAATCTACATATGTCTGATACTGCCTCATATAATGTTAAGTCTATACATCTGGACTGTATTATAATCGTGAAGTTCATCCAATTATTGTTTGTTTTGGTTTCTTTGGGTATACCTAATCACTTAGCTATCATCTGACCAAGTTTCAAATGTAAATTAGTATTTCTCACTTTTGCCTAGGTACAAACATTTTCATTGATATATCATGTAACTAATTTGATTTCTGTTTTCTTTGTATGTTGTCCGTTTTAGTTGAAACGATTGTTTTTGAACAATTGAATCTCTGTATTTGGTGACACTGAATATTTTGCTTATACTCTTACTGATGAAGGGGGGTGTTAAAACCAGCAATTGTTGATTTTATTATAATGCAATTTATTTTAATGTGTCCAAAAACAGTGTAAGAGCTTTTCAGATCATCTTTTGTTCTCACCTTGACCATCTTTTTAAGTACATCGATTTAATTAATGGGCCTTAAACGACGACCTGCTGAATCACTGCCTCGAGTGATCATAGAGAAAACTATATTAAAAGTAATAAAATAATGATCTGAGAACCCGATGTTTTCTACAGCCAGCTCACACACCGGAATACCCCAAGACAAAACCAAGTCCAGTGTATGGCCTTGTACGTGAGTAGAGCCCACTACTGACTGAGTAAGGTTAAAAGTGTCCAACACAGTTAGAAAATCTTGAAATAGGGGCCTATCGGACAACAGAGATGAATATTAAAATCACCTAGGATGACAAGGTTATCACGACACGTTATCATAGAAGATAAAAATTCAGAGAATTCCCAAATAAAATATTTGTTATATTTGGGAGGTCTGTATAAAAGTGCAAAAATCACAGGCCTAGTCAAATCCTTGCACATCAAAACTCCCAAACATTACCTCAGATACAGACTTACATTTAAAACAGCTCCTAAAAATAGTAAGAACACCCTCACCCTGACCCCCTGTCCTTGGAGAGTTCGGGGGATCGCATGTCTTATGACCACTCGAGTGCCAACTAGAAGCCACAACATCCGACTTTCTAAGACTTAGCAGGAACTCATGCTCATACACGCGAAGCGAGCTGACTCAGGACAAGAACAGGTAATACGTAGGACACACAACAGACGGCAAGCCGAATTACACACAGGCGCCATCTTGGAACATTTAAAATAAAAATGTGTTAAGTGTTATGCTGCGTTCAAGTCCTCCTGGGACGTTCGTACTTACGAGTTGACAAGTCGTAATTACGACGTCAGGTGCGTTCAAGTCAGTTTAGTCAGCACAAGATGCCGGTGTAGCTAATTTTAATAAATTACAAGAAAATACAACAGGGTCTGTTAACTCCGCTTATAGAAAATGAAGAGCAAAGAATTCGCATCAGGTGTGTTTTGCGTTTTTAATCTTTTTTTTTAGACCAGGATCCCAGTATAACTGATTTTCAGCGTCAACAAATGCTAAAATACAGAGATTTAAAAAAGCTGTTAGCTAAATGCAACATGGCAAATCAAAAGATTTTTCACCTATAGGTGCAAAAATTATAGCATTTTTTAACTTGGATTTCATTAACTAGCTGCGTAACAAGAACATGACCAATTTAAGTTTATAGGACAACTAAACTATCAATTTAAATAAAAATTTACCGTAAACTACAGACGTTGCATCCATCGATTCCGCCATGTTTCTCATTGACACGCCTCCAACTCGGAAACTCGGGGCTTAAAGAAAATTTCGAGTTTCCCACTCGTAATAACAACTTTGAGGTGGCGTTCATGTGCGTTCAACTCGTAAATACGATCTATCCGACATGACTTGAACGCACCTTTATAGTCATCAATAATTTGGTGGCTTCAACATTCTGGCATCGCTTGGCATGTACTGAGTCACCTAGTGGACTTCTTGCAAAACTACAAGCTC